TAAATGCACATCAGAGTTGTTGTAGATTGTGCATTAAATCATCGCTTCATGGTTTGAAAATTGGCTTTTTATAATTAAGGCAGAGCTTTTTTTTGCAACATTTCTAGTTGCGTAAGCTAGCGAATATTTAGCTTCAACTCTTATAGATAAAGGCGACAATTTAGTCACGAGGTTTACTATATTTTATTACCTTCAGACTAGTCACAGTTCATAACAATAAAGATAACGATTTGACCGCCAAGGTACAATTTGTTGGTATTGTGGTTTATCTTCCTCCGGGTAATAGCAATATAAAGGCCACATACCAAGGCCCGCAAAGACTAGTACAGCTCATTAAAGATCATCACAACCCGTTTCGACAGACCAAAAGTACGTGAGTTTAAGAAGTACGAAAAATATTAGAGTGACAGACTGAAGAAGTTAAGTTAGAAAAATAGCATACAGGTAGCGGACAGATTTTGCACTGGATTATAGAATGTACATTTATACATTAATCGTTTACAATTAGTTAATGTATTTCAAAAAAAGAGTTGGTTACAACTAATTAACGTATTTCAACAATACGATTTGTTAGCTACAAGTAAAATATGAAAAAAAAAGAGCTAGCAATAGCGGTGGCTTACATATTATTAACTCCTTTTTTATTTTTGTGGTTTTGCCTTTCTGAAACTTCGGTCGATTATGTAGTTAAGTTGTTGTTTATTTTTAAAGCTACAATACATTTTAAAAATCGTGAAAATTTCGTTAGCTGCAAAACCTATCGTGAAAATATCGCTACAAAGTTACGATGAGTAACTATAGGCTACATATTGTACATATACTGCCGTAAAAGTATTGTTAGTTATAAAGCTTTAAAATAGAGCTTTACACGTAATAAGAAATTCGGAATATTTTAAACTTAATTATTGTCTTACAATCGAGCGATGAGAAGTTTTTTAAGTTTGAGATTAATGTTTTATTAGATTTACCGAGAAATTCTTACAGAAAAACAGTTGCCAATTTCTATACATAAACTTACACCAGTCTCAAATTTAACAGAATGATACTTTGTAATCATAAATACTGACTTGACTCTTATATATATATATATATATATATATATATATATATATATATATATATATATATATATATATATATATATATATATATATATATATATATATATATATATATATATATATATATATATATATATATATATATATATATATATATATATATATATATATATATTCCTTGCTGATGATGATGCCAGCTCTTATATTAGAAGCAACGCTAAAAACTTATTTTTTCAAAAGTAAAGAAAAACAAAAGCAAACAATAATTGAAGAGATAAAAAATTGGTTTAAAGTTACTATAAAACTAGTTAATCAAATAAATGAAATAAAATAATTAAAGCTGTAATAATAAAAACTATAAAGCTAGTTAATCATTAATCGCTAATTCTACTTTCTAATACCTGTTTGTTTATACCTTTGTACTTTACAAAATTTCTACAAACTATTTTTTTACGTCAATGAAGGGATTTGGCGACATTGAGTAAAGTATTTTACCGGGAGGCTGAATAAACGCAAATTGGCATAAGTGCAAACTGGCATAAGTGCAAAGCGTTGCAAAAACTGGGATAAGTGCAAACTTGCATATGTGAAAATTGGTATAAATGCGTCGAATAAATTTGCAAACACTGGCATAAGAGCGAATTGGCATAAGTGAGCCGAACAAATTCGCAAACATTGGCATAAATGCGATTAGGCATAAGTGTGAACTGGCATAGTGCGAAGCAGTTACAAAAATTGGCATAAGTGCAAACTGACATATGTGCGAATTGGCATAAGTGCGAATTGTTATTTCGCACTTATACCAATTCGCACTTGTTCAGTCATCCCTACTTTACATCTACTGTGTTTGCATTTGAAAAATAAAATAAACAAGTAAAATTAAAAACGAATTTTTAAAACCCATTTCTTTTATATGTTATTAAAACACAAATTTTGCAAACAATATTTTCTGATATTACTATTTTGTTTTATTAACATTAGGCTGTATGCGTGTGTAAAAAAGACAAAAATAATTTAGGATGGGGCGGGTCTCAATCCACAGACATTCCATTTACGAAGTCAACGCCTTATCCAAATAGCTAGAAGCGCGTCAAAGTAGGGCAAATAATATAGTTATTTTAAAATTATTATTCTTCTTTCCACATAAAAATTAAACTTTTTTAAAATTAACTAAACTAATTGGCTTATTGCAAAACTAACTATCGAATATTGTATTGTCATCAAGCAAGCGTATGTATGAAAATCAAACTAGTATGTATGAAAAATTAGAAAATCTATCATTAGAAAGTGACTCAATAATTGATTTCAAAATTTGATGTTAACAAACAGAGACGAGGAGTTAATAAAACCATTGGGAAAAAATAAACATTAATGATAACATATTTGTAAAATTAACACTACTGTTATTTTCTTCGTTTAATAATTAGTAAACAAAATTACTCTACTGAATTATGTCATAAAAACTAATCAGAATTCTAAAAAACATTAAGTTTACAATAAATTAGCATAAATATATATTACATCAATGTCGTAAAAATGTAAAAATATGAATGTATCAATTTGACCAGGCCAAACTTGCATAAATTAGACCTTGTTGAGTCGTCCCAAAAATTAAGCTAAAAAAGTTCTAAATTGACTGCATGGCCGACGACACGGGTTTTTAAGTGGAGGAGCACAGTCGTCTATTTCTAAAAAAAGTCCTCTATATGTAGATTTTTGTCTTTAAAAAAAATTAGGTCTTATAGACAAAAAGTGTGGGTACGTGACCCCCGTCTCCCCTCGGGCGTTGTCGGCCCTAGGTTGGGTGTGTAAATTTTGTATGATTCAAAACATATTTTGCTTGATTACTTAAATAGTTATAAGTTAAAAAACTGAATACTAATTCTGATGAGAGAAAAATCACTAAAAATCAACAACGTTACAAATATTTTTGAAATTTTATACCTTTTGTAAATTTGTAAAATTGTTTATAAATTGTATTAAGTTAAATTGACAAATAAGCATAAGTTAAAGTTCAAACTTTTGTTTTATATCTAAACTTGAAAATGGAAATTATAAATTTCATATTTATTATATTTAGCCCTGTTTTATTTTTGATAAGCATTCATATTTTAAATTTTTATATCAAAATTTCATTTGTAAAACATTTTTTAAATTTGATTTGTAACAAATTTAAAAAATTTTCCTTAAATTATATGTATACATACTACATACAGTCCCTCTAGAGAATACAAAAATATGAGTGCACCGTTTATTTGCATATAATATTTATAGCAAGAATGTAATAATATGAGTGTATGCACCGTTTATTTGCATATAATATTTATAGCAAGGCAAATTTCAAACCAGTTATTTTCAGCCGTTCCAATTTTCCATATTTACAATTTGCGAGTTGCAATGTTTTGTGTAAATGTATGAGTTTTTCAATTAAGTATTGAATTTAGCAACCATTCTTGATAATTTACAACGTTTGTATACAACCCATAGAAATGAGGTCTTGCGCATTCAAACCCAGATGAAACAATCCCGGATGCATGCCATAATCCTTAATTTGTAAGAAAATATTTTATTACAGATTGGAACATGAATTACTTTTTAGATTTACACACAATATGCCCATTGAATTTGAGCAAAAATAAAATACGGTTATTAAGAAGAACCTTTAGTGACGTAGTTTTGAAGCATTGTTTAATTGGAATCGCTTCAAATAAAACACCGTGTTTTATTTGTAACAATAAGAATTTAAAGCTAAAATAATCACGGCAGCTTTTTTTCATGTTTGAAAAAAATAAATTTTAAACTTGGGCATGTTTATTCTTATATCAAATGAGAATACTTGGTTAAAAACTGCAATAATTGGAGCCTAGGAACAACAAAAACAATAAAACATATTCTCCTAACCCCAAATTTGATGACTGACTACTTTTAAACTACTGCTATTTTAAACTTTATATTCATCAATAGATTTCAAATTTCATCTAATTTTATTTTAGTGTTCAAGAAATATAAATGTGTAAAGTTTTCAATACGCTCAAAATGAGGGGTGGTAATATTATTAGCAAAAGTGGATAAAAGCATGAAAATTTGACCAATTACTCAGAAAAGTATGCTAAAAGGTGCCAAAGCGTGGCATAATAGAAACTGGCCAAAATCGAAAATCATCAATACCTTAATAGGTATTAAACCGGTCAAATAACCTTCACTAAATCCTTAGAGAAAGTAAATTATATCGAGTAAATACTAATTTTTATATCGGTAATGACGTGAGTGCAAAAACTACGATGGTTCACACTATTATAAGTATGTTGCTTGCTTATAATGAGTGCAGATAGAGTGTTATTTTTCTTGGTTTGTCAACGCTTCAAGTATCATAGTAACGAATGCGAGGAAGTTTTTTGTTACTGACATTTCTTGAAACCGCGGAACAAAATTCACCTCTAAAAGGTTTAGCAATGTCAAATATGATTTAATGTATAATCTGCGCAGCCTTTGACAAATACACTGCATCATAACCACAACGATATTAACAGGTTTTAAAAAGTGTTGGACGAATGTCATTATTAAAAACGAGTAAAACATCTCAACCATTCTGTTGTGAACGCATGTTAGAAAAAATGGCTTGAGTTCTTTCTTTTAATCGTGTGCATTGCATATGAGTTTGTGAATTTAGCTTATCATATAGTTTGGACAAGCAATCACCATATAGTCCAGCTAGACCAGCTAGTTTTTGGACTGGTGTAATTGTTTTTAGACTGGTTGTCTAACCTTGTTTCTTAGATGTTCGTTGATGTGCTACCATATCTTAAATGCATTACATACTTATTTTCAACTTAAAAAATTTGCTTTTATCCACTCTTGCACAATTGTTACCTTAACTTGCTTCACTATTAGTTTAAAATATTAGAAATAAAACGAAGTAAACTAATGCCCTTACGGTTTTCATTGCTGGCAAGCTCTAATTAATGCAATTTTTCGCAAAGCATTCTCACTTGATATAGGCATCAACATACCTAGGTTTGAAGGTTGCTTTTAAAGTTATATCTTAAAGTTATATCTTAAAGTTTTTTTCAAACATCAAAATAAGCTGCAGCAATTTCTGAACTAACCGTCTTTTAAACATGCCAAAGAACCTCCACTGTCATAATTGCACGAGTCACTTTTTCCATTTTTATAACCAGCGCATAACAAATAATCTTCCTTGATTACTTTATTGTAAGCTTCAGGCTCGTTACATACGTTGTTTGATACGATCGGTACTTCAGCTTTTTGAAGTACCTCAGGTTGTACGCCATTGTGCTTCAAGAATCCCCAGCCAACAATATTACACGTTTGGTCTGGAGAAGCAGGTTTGTCTGGTATACATATGTTTGCCTCATTGCTTGTATAACTTAAGTCAATGTGTGTTTTTAATTTTAATATAGCTAAAAAATAAGAAAACAATCGAATTAACAGCTAATAATTATTTCGATTAATGAAAAAAAATAATAATCAATAAATAGTAATAAGCAAGTTAATATTAAATGTATTAAAATTAATACAATAAAATTTGAAACTTGCACCACGGTGCAAATGCAAATCGTTTATAACTGACAAACATGTTTTATAAACGAAATATAAATCATAAAATTATATTTGCTACATATATGAGGGGCTCCGTGGAAAAGATGCAAAACCCACATTTTTTTAGTTTGCTAGCTAAAATCATTATTACCTGAATAGAAAAATGGCATTTGAATTGTGGAAAGGTTAATTTTGATCTCACAATCAACTGAAAAGCACAGATTTGGAATTGAAAACTCAATGAAAAGTACAGCATTAATGAAGCATAAAGCTGTAATTGAGTTTTCTCAAAATCCATTTAATCAATTGTTGTGATTTTTTTTATTATGATGTTTACATAATTTGCTTGAGTGTAGTTTTGTTTCTTCTCATTACTTTTTGCAATTTTGAAATTTTATATAGAAAATCCATCGTTCTCATTTTCCATGATTTCAAAGACATGTAAAGTTACAAAATCAACTGTTGGAATTATTATAAAATTTTATAAGAAAAACAAAGTTGTAAAATAAAATCGAGAAGTGGTGGAAAATCAAGATTTATTTCGAAAAAGAAGGCAAAATCAATAGTCGACTCAATTCATCAAAATCCGACTCAGTCACAACAAGTATTAGCTACAAAGTTTAAATGCAACAAAGCTTTCGTTCAAAGAGTATTCAAAAAAGAAAATCTGAAAGAGCATTACAAGAAAAAAATACCAAAATGGTCGTTTGATAGAGAAATCAAGGCAATTGGAGGTGCTAAAAATTTGCTTAAAATAATTACGAAAATTTATGCATTTTAGAAGACGATGAAACCTACTGTAAAATACATCACTCGATGCTTCCAGGTAATTAAAATACTATTATCAGTCGAAACTTTACAAAGCTTCTGAAAAAATTTACGTACATTTGAATTGAAATATTTGAAAATCACTTTTGAGTTCCTTGTATGGTAGGCAATTTGCAGTAGAGGTTTTAAAAGTTCTCCTTTCATAACAAATCAATCTTTGACACCAGATCTGTATGCAAGGGAATACTTGAAAAGCAACTTCTTTCTATAATTAAAAGCAAAAATAAGCATCTTCTCCTCTAATAAAAAGCACAAATAATCAACTTTATTTTGGCCAAATCTAGCATTGATCCACTATTCCAAAAAAGTAATTTAGTGGTATAAGAAAAAAAGAATCAATTTTGTTCCAAATCCACCAAACTGTCCAGAGCAGCAAGTTATCGAATCTTACAACTGTCCACAATTGTTAAAGGAATATTGAGGAAAAGTAGCAAATGGGAAAATAAAGTTAAAAACTTCCGAGATTTATTAATAAATGCTACAAAAAAATTGGTGCAAAGTAAAATTGCGTAGATGATGGAGGGTACTTTACAAAAAATTAATTTAGTTGCAGGTCATAAAGTTAAGGCTAAATTTTTTTTTTATTGAAATAAAAATTAATTATGTAAGCATTATTATAAAAAGAATTACAATTAGTTAGGTTAGCATTATTATAAAAATTATTACAATTAGTTAGGTTGTCTTTGAGAAAACTCAATTTAAATTTCTCCAAATTTCAACCGATCATAGTATTCAATAATAAATTTTAATGCAATAATATAAATTCATATTATAATAATACAATTTTATACAAAAATGTAGTTTTTAGCCTCAGTGTTATTTTCAAACAACACTTTCATTGCAGATTCAAAGTAAACCTTGTTAGAGAAGAAAGAGATGAAAAGATCATCTCTCAGAAAGTACATGAAGAAATCCTGTCTCTTAGCCAAGGAGCTAAGTCAAATTGTCAACGCGTGAGGAGGCAGTACCAGTCACAGTACATACCGTATTGAATAAAAATTGCATAGTTGTAAGTGAATTGCCCATTTATAACAATAATAAAGAAATATTCTGAAACAAAAGAGGTCAATAGGAGAATGATATGTTACAACAAAAGATAAATTAGTTAAACAAAAGATTTTTTTTACAGAGATTACTATCTAGAGTGCAGCAGTAAAGTAACAGTCGCTCGCCGTAATCAAATTTTGTACCATGAACTGGGATTTAAAAAAAATTTTTTAATGGATTCTAAAGATGTAGAAGGTAAATACAAGAAGTATACTACTGCATCAAAGAACTACCTTAGGCCAAACAGTTGTACTAAAAAACTAACGGATTCAGACAAAAATATTAAAAAGGTTTGCAGATCTTACTTTAAGGACACATTGCAGATCTTTAATGAGACAATAAAATTTCGATTCACGAAAAAAAGTAGCGATGAAGACACCAAATGCGTTCAAAGCTCTATTTATAATGATGCGATAGTGGTGTAGTGGTAGAGCACTTCTTTCATAAGCGAGAGGTTCCGAGTTCAATCCCCACCAGGTCCCTAGTAGTACCGCGCTCAACTAGTTTCTCTGCCTTGTTCGTCAAGATTCGTGTTTCGAAGTTATAGTGTTGAGAGAGGGTTTTAATCACAAATAAGTAGCCTCCTTGCCTGTAGAGGCCTTCTCGGCCTTGAGGAGGTGAGTTAACAAAAAAAAAAATTCTTATTTCCATTGTACATACCCAATTATAGCTAAAAGGATAACCAGTACCGAAATTATCTTTGTAATTTATCTCTTAAAACCTACGTTAAAAACATAAAGACTCAATTTATCTATGTAGTAAGGACAAACATCCGAAGGTGCCCAAGAGATAAATTTGTGTATCCGAGAGCATATTCCTCGACATATACGCGAAACTGTGACCCATTTAATATTCTAAAGCGGTAGTTGCAGTGGATAAAATCCCCTTATAAAAATGTTTCTTATGTTATAATATATTTAGCACTTGTTTACATTTCTCAAAATCATTGAATAAGAAATTTTTGAGTAAGGGTATGTTTGACTCCTGCAACCAAGACTTTGCTGAGATTAAATAAGCTAAAAAAATCAAGAACTAAATATTTGTTCTGGATGATTCGATAGACCTAATTAAAAATAAAAAAAAGAGGACCCTAAAATTTATTGTATAAAAATGAAGAACTAAGAATTTCTTTGTTCATAATCATTTGAGAGTGAAATGACCGCTAGAAAAAAATCAGACGAAAAAGTTTAAAAAATTAAAAAAGAAAAGCTGTGATCTTTTTGAGTTCATATATAGCTCATACCACATATCCTATCCATTTACTGTAACCATGTAGTAAAATTAATGTGAGTTAGAAAGGTCATTACCAGTATTATAAAAAATACTTTCAAAAAATTATTTAAAATACAAATACAAATACTGTAAAAAAATGTAGTTAAAATACAAATACAAAATAAACTCAAGCAAAGATATTTAAAATATAAAATACAAAATACTTAATATAAAAGTATTTAAAATGCAAAAAACTTTTTGAAAGCGAAAAAATAAAAAAAAAGGGCAGTTGAAGTGCTTTAAAGCAGCAAAAGTTTAAAATGAAAATAAAATCTAAATGTTTGTTAGCTTTAAGCAACATTAGTTCAAAATTAGTTGGCTTTAAGCAACATTAGTTCAAAATATTTATCTGATGTTTATTTTTAATGATTAAAATGTCGATGGTTTGTCAGCATCAGTAGAGCTTTCAATTAATTTGATTTTTTGTGCCTCTTTTTTATTCCATAAGCTATCCACACAGTGAATAATTTATAGAACAAGCACCACAAGTTTATTTCAAACTTGCTGAACTGCTGACATCAGGAATCCCAGAAAACAATTAGTTTTCACTTGCAGCTTTTCAGAGCATCGGAAATAAGTTTCATAAACTGCTTGTCTTTGAAACGGCGCAATTTTAATGCATCCATGATTTGGGGGAGCTTTTCTTTGACTCTTGGCTCCAAAAGTTGACATATGGCAAGTAGAATTCCATTTGAGCCTCCCTTGGTGTATTCAATGAAATTTTAGTAAAATTTTCGACAGCATTGGATGCTTGCGTACTTCGGATGACATGTGACCACAGTTTTGAGCAACTGGCCATTGGTCTCATGTGTTGTTGTTTATATAAACCCTTCATTTTTAATCAATTTTGGAATGTCACTAGTGGAAAGCCGGTTCTGAGTATGACTATCTCACGTGCTTGGGTAAATGCTTGTCGTTACTTGTTTGTTCTTGCTCATTTGTCAGAATAGTGTCAGCATGAACTATCTCCTCTTCATGTGTGTTTCTTCGTCTTGGTGAGCATTGTGCTTCTGCTGATTCTAATGAATCCCATTTTCACTATCATCAAAATTGCTATCGTCTTGGCATTTATTAAATTTTTGACAAAATTTGAACCATTGTCAGTCACAGTAAAAGCTACGTTATTGATGATCAAGTCCGTTTTTGGAATGTATATTATAAAGTTGCTCTGCAATTGCGTTAAATGTATGACTTATTTTGAAACGTTTGCAGACAAGCAAAGCAGACAGTCGAGATAAATCTTCTCTGATCCAGTGCGCTCTACCTATTATGTTGCTACTTTTAAAACAGCTTCATACGTCTGCTGTAGCTTCATATGTCTGCATATAGAAACTGACGTCTGAATGTGATCTCTATTTGTATATGATATAGTTTCAAATTTACTGTCATGTTTTTTTCTAAGAGTTTGACAAGACATAACTGTGGATGAGGGAGAAAGACCAGCGACTAAATCTTTGAACGATTGTTTTTCAACTGTTATTAGTGGTTGAAATTAACTTCTAATGGAGTTGATAATTAAGTTGTTTACCTTTGCTTGCAGAAGAACTTCAGACCTTGGTGTTAATTGTTGTTTACTAATTGTTAAATTTAATGTTAGTAGACCACCAATTCTAATACAAAATGTTTTTACAGGGACACTTTTCTTGGGCAGACCACTATTATTTGGACCTCTTTTTCTAACATTTCTAGACATTTCTTTCTTGCATGGATTGTAGCCGTTAACTGAGCTACGATGAACAACCTGAAAAAAAGATTGAAAAAGTAAAAAAAAAATATATTTTTTGATCTCATTATGTTCTATCTCCATTATGTAATGTTGTGAGAATTTAACTTTCGATTTTTAATGGTTTGACTTTTTTTACAGCTGTTATTGTTTACAATTCTCAAATTAGATTTATAAACCTATATTTCTCACGTCACGATATGCTATTTATTTATCTATATTACTTAATAAATAATAAATGCTTGCACTAAGCAATCATTTATTATTTTTAAACAATTAAATTTTTATTCTTTTATTTTAACAAATTTTGTTTTTCAATCTTAATAATTTAAGAGAATATAACAAATTTTGTTCACTTCTCTCATAATTACCAATGGGAGAACCTAAATTTGCGGGGCCCGGGCAATAGCCCTAGCCCCCCCATCCTTGATCCGGCACTGGCTTTTCCTGAAATATGATAAAATAGATAATCTCTTTTGTTACAATATTTCTCCAATAAATTCAACTTATTATTTATTAAATCAATAACAATTAGATATTTTGCTTTAATTTTACAATGATTTCTATCGCTATATAATTTATTCTTATTATTCATAAAAAATATTCAATTGTAGTACTAAAACAATTATGTAAAATACGTCTGTTATGTTGATTAAAATATTTTAACATTTAATCTAGTACAGCAATAATAACAGTGACAATAATAAAAGTAATAATTACAATAACAGTATATAAACAATGCACTACCTTTATATGCTTTAACAGGTTTGAAGATGAGTCAATTTGTGCTGATAAGAATTTGTTTGGACAGCTTTTACACCTAGCCGGCACTTTTTTTCATAAACAAATTTGGCTATTTTGAATCATCTAGGATTGAAGAAAGACCTGGTTTTTTTCGATTTTTAAACTTATGATTCCAATGCCAGACGGCTAAATCTCACTAGAATCTGAATTTGTATTATTATTTTATGACTGCATTTTCTTTATATAATATCAATATGCTTGTATATATAATCAGATATATGCTTTATATGTTATCGGCTAAAAAATTTTAATTTATATTGCTTTATATATTATCAGCTAAAAAAATTTAAATTATATTGCTTTATATATTATCAGCTAAAAAATTTTAAATTATATTGCTTTATATATTATCAGCTAAAAAATTTTAAATATAACAAATAAATAAATTTTTTTATTTTTAAAACACTGAATACAAAATACATTCAAAATTCTAGTATCAAAAACAAACGCGAAATACTTGATTGAAAAAGAAGTTATTATTGTTAGATTTAAAATACAAAATACAAATACTTCAAAAGTATTTAAAGTAGGTATTTAAAGTACTAGTAATTAAAATATTTTACAACATTGGTCATTACATTTTTCATTGTACCTAACCAAGTTATTTGACTATAATTTATTAATTTTAAAGATATGTTGCCTAAACGCTTTTGATATTTTTTGAAAAAATCATATACTACAACACTTTTTTTTTTTTTGGGGGGAGGAAGGGAGATATAAAATCATTATTAAGCCATATACATAACATTCACTTTGCTTAACTCGTTTAGCCAACTTTATCTATTATTGTTTTAGAAATTTGAATTAACGAATTTAGTAATTGGTGCCTTTCCACTGAGCCCCTCGTATACCATATAAGTATATATGTATCATAGGACATACTGTTTAATACTTTCTTACTAAGTTAAAAAAGTAAAAGTAAATAATATTCTTAATACACGTAGAATAATTTATTTGGTTGGATTTGAGTATAAATAAATCAAGATAAATACCCAATCAGGCCAATTTAAGTTTCTGCATTGCAACTTCTTTATATCACTAAAAAAGTCTGTAGTTAGAGCGTAAACAACTGCCAAATCTAACTCTGAAATTTGATCCGAACCCCCAAATGGTGTTACTTTCGATTTGGTGGGACGAACGCGGTATTCTCAACAAACTACAAGCGGAAATCGGGGTATAACAAATTTTATTTCCTCCATGACATTTTAAATTAAAAAATTAACGCGGTAAAAATTGTTGGAGCTTAGATGGGAAGTGTTACCTTATAGCCATGCTTAGCGCTCACAAATCTTTATTTGTTTTGATCATTAAGCAACAGCTTGTGCGATGAAAGGTTTGATAACGAGGAGGCACTTCGATAGCACCTTAGTCCCTTTTTTGATTTAAAGCCAAGAGAGTTTAATAGACAATTATGGTGCATATTTTGTTCATGATTAATTATAAATTAAAACATATTATTTTTAAATACCGCTTCTTACTCTTCAGCTCCAATATAAAACGTTGAGGTGAATTTATTTTATTTGTTTACAACTGAATAACGTATTTTGTGAACAGACAATATACCGTATAAATAAAATATTTTTTAAAAATTCATAATTTATGGATTTGAAATTAAAACGATAAAACTCACAGCAGGCACAGAAAAACAACGTGAAACAACGTGCAATAAACGTCTCACGTCAGTAGAATTTCTGTATCTTCTGTAAATATTTAGAAAAGTTTCATTGAGCAATTAAAAAGATAAATAAAGACATTTTTTGCGAAAAAAAGCAACTGCAGCCTTGAGCATGTTTTTTTATATATATACCGGTATTGGAATTAGAAAAATTAACCAATTTATTAAAAAGTACGTAAAACTATGTAATTATTATATGATTTATTAAAATGAAAAACATAAAGAAAAATAAGATCGAATTATGTACTTACCAATATCATTGTTAACGATTACATAGGAACTATTCTGCATTTCATTTTTAATCAATTTATATTCTTTGTGTTTGATAATTCTTTTTATGTCATGTGCTTTTTCAAATAAATCTTTTTCATAAAGCAAATAATCCCCTGTATATACTTGCCAGTGTGACGCATTTGAAGACGTAAAAATAGGATCTAATAATATATATATATATATATATATATATATATATATATATATATATATATATAATATATATATATATATATATATATATATATATCTTAAAAATGAAAATTAAAAAATACAAAAATGATGGAATTAAGAAAGGCAATCGAATTTGTAAGTGAGAAATATGAAACAACTCTAGCCGAATTGAAAGAACTGAAAAAACACGCAATTCCAAATGTCGAACTAACAGATAACATGAAGTTTAATGACAAAAACAATGATGTGAAAGACAAGCTTGTCAATGATGTGAAAGACAAGCATGTCGAACTTGAAGATCGAAGTTGTAGGAATAATCTTATGTTTAATGGAGTCGAAGAAAGCGAGAACGAATCATGGGAAGAAAGCGAGAACGAATCATGGGAAGATAGCGAGAGAAAAATTCAAGAAGTTATAAAATCCAAGTTTGGTTTTACTAATGGTTTAGAGATTGAAAGGATACATCGAACAGGAAAAAACGAAAAAGGAGTTAAAAAAACAGAACAATAATAGTAAAGTTTCTAAATTACAAAGAAAGAAAATTTTGTATTTGAAAAATTTATCAAACTAAAACTTTGGAATGAAAAACTATATGTTAATGAAGATTTTAGTGAACACGGAAAGAACCACGAAAATTAGAAAAAAATTGTTTAAAGAAGCAAAGGAATTAAGAGCCAAATTCTTTTATTTCTAGTTATTTAAATCATTTTATCATTTAACTTTTTTCAATCTAACGACTTGGTGCTTGACACTAATTCAGATTCGGATTTAAACTATTTTAGTGATGTAGGAGCTTTACGAAACAATTGTTTCTACTTCTATAACAAAGAAATAAAGAATTTCTTTCTCGGGATCATTTCAATGTTATTCATTTTTAACATTAGGAGTCGTTTGAAAATTTGTGTACTTTAATAGAGGACATTTAGTGGTGTTACTTTGATGACGCTAAATCTAATTTAAATCTCCATCTTCTAGGTTTTAATATGATCCCACTTGCGCGTAAAGCAAATAAACGCGGAGGTGGTTTACTTTTTTATATAACGGAAAATTTGAGGTTTTTTATTAGGCCTGAGATGAGTATTTCTGATGACAATAAAGAAATTTTAACTATTGAACTTTTAACCAATAATTCTAAAAACAAACTTGTAAGCTGCTGTTATCGCCCACCATATGGCAATATTGAAAGTTTTAATGCATTTTTGTGTAATGATATTTTAAAAAATAGTTAAATAAGTTTAAGAGTGATTTTTTGTAAGAATCAGGCAGTCAATGGAAGTGACCTCCTCCAAATTGCTTGGATTTTTTATATATTGATCAGAATATAGAGAAAACCTGTTATGGAAAAAAAAAAAATTTCAAAAATGTTTCGTTTACTTGGAATCTGGGCTTAAATTTTTGAGATTTTTTTAAAAATTTTTAGAAATTTAGTTTTTGCCACCTTTGAACCCATTTTTTTGGCAAAGCAAAAAGTTGCACATAGCTTTTGTAGTTAATATCAGACGTAACCCAAAAGCTCTCTCCAAAAAATATAAAAAAGTTGCGTGACACTGTGCGGTTGGCTAATTATCATAGTTCAAAAGTACAAAATCAATCAGTTTTGTCAATTTTTAATCGGAGTTAATTCTAGCGGCGAAGTGTTGCACACAATTTTTCTTTTAGGATTTGAAATTATCAAAGGTATTGAGTCTAAAAATGCAAAGAAAGTTATGTGATACCTAAGGCCTATTAATATATTAAGGCTTGAAATTGGAAAAAAATGTTTTAGTATACTTACAAAATGAGCTATTACGGCAGAGGCGCTTAGTTTTGTAAAAATATAATCATGTTAAATGGTCAATATAAGATGACCCTAACATAGTTTAAAAAAAAACTCATGTGATCTTTAGATATTAAGTTAAAAATAAAGGTACAAATTGTTAAAAATGATTAAGTACGAAGAGATATTTTTTTGGACACACAGATGGGGTTTTCGCTCACAATAAAATTTCTATCATCCAAAATTAGCAATTAGCATTACACAAAACATTGCACGTAATGTTAAGAAAAAATTTAAGCGTTTCTGACTATGATATAGAAATCATAACAATTGAAATAAATAATAATAAAAAACAATACATGATCAGAAGTGAATTATTTAAATTTACGTCATAACCAAATAACTTGTGGTGATCGAATGGAAGAAGAATCGCTGATATCACGATGTGGAGAAACAAGTTAGTGAGCGGTTGTTTACTTTACCATAAAATTGTCTTAACTTTATCTTAACGATCTTTAAAATTTGCATAAATAGAGTAGATATTTTATCATTGCTATTGAGAAATAGGTACTGCATAAATAGAACTTGTTTTTAGTTGAGTATGGAACAAAACAAATATTTTTATGAAAACTGTTGTTGCTTTTCAAAAGGAAATTGTGGATCATTCAAAAAACATAAAATTATAAACAAAATGTTCTACATTCATCAGCTGGGAGATGTTGATGTTAAGAAACACCTCATCAACTTAAAGGTAATTATGTATTTTAAATTTACGCAGACTGTAATATAATTTTTATATTTACATACTTTATAACTTCTCTGCAATAAGATTTTGAGACAAAGTTCTTTAAACAAAAAAAAATAGCTCTTTTAATTAATTCCTCACTCTTTTAATAAATAATCACTAAATTAATCACACTCTTGCAATATTGTATTTTAATAATAACAACAATGTATTTCAAACTTGTAAACATTTTACGTGAAGAGTCAGATTATAAACAATGCTTTAAATGACACACTTAATAATTGTTTAAAAAATTGTTTTTAGGTCATGCGATTAAACGATAATAATATTTGGGAAGAAAATGGACTTATTGCAAATAGACTTAAAAGAAATCTTGAAAAGGATGAACAAATATGTGCTTTTCACCGGTACACGTTTGGTATTGCATGGAGTCCTCCAAAAACATGCTTTCATCCTCACCATCTAAATATAAAAGGAAAAAAATCTCCCGCTTTAAGGGCGTCACCAATACATGTCGTCATATCAATGTCAAAGCGATACAATGAAGTATTTTCAGTTGGTGCAATGCTGTGTTTTACCCATTTAAAGCAAGAAACTGCTTTATCTAGAGTCAACGAAAACACCAATTTAAGTACAGAAACACAAACACAACAAGAACAAACATATATGACACCTGCTACTCCAGATGAAGAATTTGATCCCGGTGAAATTAATGTTTCACAGGAGATTTTGGACGAATCTCTAAGAAGCCGTGAGAGTGTAACTGAGGTTCTTAATGCAAGTCCAATAAAATTTAGATTAAAAAGGAAGTTCGAATATCTGGAAGATACTACTAAAGATAAGTTAAAACGCAAGTATGTTCGCCTAGAAAACTTATTAAAGAAAAAATTTGCGGAAGCTGTTGCTCTTGGACAAGAGGAAATACTAATAGATTTTTTTAACAGTAAAAATGTTGATGAAATAAATAGCCCTCTCCCAATTGAAATTATTCGTGCTCAGAAAGTATATAAGCAAAGTGATTCCATGGGAAACTTAGTTATCCTCTCATTATTAGACCATATCAAGTATACCAAAAAGTTTATAATGAACACATTTGAGTGTACCAAACATCGTATAGAAACAGCAAGAAAATGGCATGCATCTCATAAAGGGTTGGCATTTCCAGAGAAGAAAGTATTCGTCCGATCTAGTCTTGATCAAACAAAGTGTGAACATTTCTTAGACTTTATATTTACAAGCGGTATTTTGCATGATGTTGCTTATGGAATAACCAAATTAAAATACGACAGCGGTGAAGAACAAAAGATAGTGCATGCAATACTGACGACAAAGAATAGCCACGCTATCATGTTCTATCGAAAAAGTTGTAGTGAAAACAATTATATACCGTTATCTGATTCAAGTTTGTGGAAAGTATTGCATGCAATAAAACCTTCAAGTCGAAAAAGCTTAGCTGGATTAGATGATGTTACTGCTTCAGGCATGAATGGTTTTCAAACATTACAAAAATTGGCACAAAGATTTAGTTCTAAATCTCTCGAAGCTGCCCTTGAAAAAGGAAAAAGGTATTTGAAAACAAGTTATCAAACCAATTGTAGTGTCAATGATTCAAACATTTCTTCTCATAGCTCAAAACATGCCTTATCAGATCCATCTGAAAAAAATCTTCAATCCAACACAGAGATATCAGAAGTGGTATGCGCCGATTGCTATGATTTGTGCAAAGCTATGGAGATGATCAAAGAACTAACAATTCAAAATTCTGACGATGCTGATTCTATTTATGATTTGGAAATTGCTGTAAAGGATGTATTCAACTACATAAAACACCTGATGAGAGATTCTCAACAGAAAAAGGCAAAAACCGAAGCTTTTAAGCAATTAAACGATGAAACTGCTTTCTGGCTTAAAGATTTTCGTCAAAAAATTCTTCCGGTTCGATACAGAGAGGGCCAAAGAGAGTATTTTGGCAAGAAAGGAATGAGTTTACATGTGGATATATTCTTCATAAAAATAGCAGGAAAGTTATTCAAACGTGTTTACTTTACTTCAATGTATAGGTGTGATCAGGGAATAGGTGATGTTGTTTCGTTAGCCACTGCAGTTTTAGACCAATTCAGAATTGATCAACCGCATATCAAGAAAATGCTTACCAAATCTGATAATGCCGGCTGCTATCAGGGAAATCTTTCAGCTGAAGCAATCTACAATGTATGCAAAGAGAGAGATATAAAGTTGCTGAGATATGATTATAATGAACCCTGTTGTGAAAAAGATCAATGTGACAGGGAGAGTGCAGTTGTAAAGACAATTTTAAGGAGTTACGTTGACTCTGGTAATAATCTTTTGACTGCTGAAGATATACACAAGGCTGTGCATTATAGTTTTGGCGCTAAAGATGCAAAAGTAGCAGTGCTCAAATTAGCAATGATAAAACTGTAGTTACTGGACAAAAGATTAAGAACATTAGCAACTATCACTCATTTGAGTTTGGTGAGAAAAGTATGAAGATGTGGCGTTATTTCAATATCGGTGAGGGAATTGAACAAGAGTATGGAAATCTTAAAATTCAACCCTCGATTAAGATGTTGTTGCCATATAGCAAAACAGATAATTCAATTAAGCGTAACAAGTCACTTAAGGAAAAACAGAAAAGAAGTGACAGGCAATTATATTCATTAAGATTTTGCACTGAAATGAATTGTACTTTATCATTTGAAAGCGATGCTGAGTTAAAAGAACACATGCTATCCGGTCTCATTAATGCTATCCGAAATCATTAACATCATTGGATAAAGTTCGCAACTCGTTTGTTCCTAAGATGAAAATTACTTCAGAACTAAATATGCCAACTTCTTCATTCTCTAACAGTGCTTCTGTACAAGACAAACCACATTGCATGAACATTTTTCTATTGCAAGGTTGGGCATTACCAGTTTGAAGTTCTTTTAGATTTTCAAATCAGCAGAAAGAACTGTTGTATAAATACTTTATTCGTGGAGAAGAATCAGGTAATAAAATGAGCCCTGAGCAGGTTCACATGCAGCTGAGGAGAGAACTTCCGCCTGATCAATATGTAACTAGCCAACAGATAAGATCTTTATTTTCAAGGTAGGCATTGTTGCTATCAAAACTTTTGCAAATTAGATTATGTTTCTGACTGTTAAATAGTTCTTTTACAAATATGAAATTAAAATTTAGGTGAAAGTTATTATTTTGTGTGTTTGTTTACATATGTTTAAAAATATGTACAATTGATATTGTTATAGATTTAGTAACCTGAAAAGAAAAGGTAAGCTGGTAAAATAAGAAATTACAGAAAATAATGAAAATAGTCAGGTTAACGATAACAAAGAAGTTTATGGCGAAAATGATGACTTTAATCTAACAGGAGACAATGAAGATGATAATAAATATGAGGAAGACATCGCCAATCTTGCAAAAGAAATTTGTCTTGTATGGAAAGTGAATGATTGGGTTGCTGTTGCATATGAAAAACAATGGAACATTGAATATATTGTGGAGGTAATATTATTCAAAGTATATATTAGTTTCAAGTTTTTATTTTGTTTTACAAAACAGTGCTCTAAAATAAAAGGAATATAAATAAAATGTAAAAATAATTTCAGAATGACATTATATAAGACTTTACAAGTTTTATTGAATGTAAGCAAAATTAAACAAATCATAAACTCTTTATTATATTATTTTAAATGTTGCGCTAATACTTTTAGGTATCTATAACTGGGATCAGAGTTAATTGTATGATTAACGGGCAAGAGAAGAAGACTTTTCGCTGGCCAGTTACTACCGAGGAAATAAATAACCAAACTGATAAAATTATCTGTTTAGTAAATGCTCCTTTTCTAATCAGTGGTTGTGGCGATTATTCATTATCCGAAGAAGACTATAATACAGTCATATCATTATTCTTAAAGAAACTTACTGCAGCAGAGTAGAAATTATGTGTGATGTGGTGGATAATGTGTGTAAGTGACTCTATTAATAAATGAAAAACTAATTTTTAAATGGAAAAATATTTAAATGTTTGATTTATGTTTTATTTAATTAGCAATATAGTTATTTTGATGTTAGATTTTTGTTCAGTTTTTAATTCATGTTATATCATGCGTGTGACAAAATCACACGATTTTTTTTTATTATTATGTTAGGACCTTTTTGTATTGACAGTTGGATATGTTTACATTTTTACAAAACTACGCGCCTCTGCCGTAATGGTTCATTTTGTAAGTATACTAAAACATTTTTTTCCAATTTCAAGCCTTAATATATTAATAGGCCTAGGTATCACATAACTTTCTTTGCATTTTTAGACTCAATACCTTTGATAATTTCAAATCCTAAAAGAAAAATTGTGTGCAACACTTCGCCGCTAGAATTAACTCCGATTAAAAATTGTTAAAACTGATTGATTTTGTACTTTTGAACTATGATAATTAGCCAACCGCACAGTGTCACGCAACTTTTTTATATTTTTTGGAGAGAGCTTTTGGGTTACGTCTGATATTAACTACAAAAGCTATGTGCAACTTTTTGCTTTGCCAAAAAAATGGGTTCAAAGGTGGCAAAAACTAAATTTCTAAAAATTTTTAAAAAAATCTCAAACATTTAAGCCCAGATTCCAAGTGAACGAAACATTTTTGAAATTTTTTTTTTTCCCTAACAGGTTTTCTCTATATTCTAATCAATATATAAAAAATTCAAGCAATTTGGACGAGGTCACTTCCACAGTTTCAGGAATTTGCCTGATTCTTAGAAAAAACGGCTCTTAAAAAATAAGGAAAAGAAACTAAATTATCTAATTGGTGACGTGAATTTAAATTGTTTTGAATATCACGTTAATAGCAACATTAAAAAGTTTTACGATGTAAAACTTTTTAATTTTAAAGTTTTTTCTTTGACTTTATTTTAGCATAATTTTTATAAATAATTTTATTTTCTGGTGATGGTTTTTTTAAGTACTTTATATAAAACTGTATATAAAATACTTAATAAACCAACACCAGAAAATAAAATTATTTATAAAAATTATGCTAAAACAGTGGCGGATTAAGACTTCTTGGGGCCCGGGGCTATTTTTGTTTTTGGAGGCCTTTTTATGGACCAGAGCCTAAAAATAAAAAAAAGGTCCTTTAACATTTTTGGGGGCCCCTAAATTTGCGGGGCCCGGGGCGATAGTCCCCCCTAGCCCCCCTTCCCTTCTTAAAATGTTTGAAAGTCAAAGAAAAAAATTTAAAAAACGACATTACTATGATTTACTAGAAAAATATAATCATAATTAAAAACGCACATGGCGAATTATAAGTCAAATTACTGGAAATATCTACTGGAAGTATCTTCTTCAGAATTTGAAAGTGCTTTTAAAATGCTTAAAACTAATAAAGCAGTTGGTCCTGATGATATAAATTGTAATATAGTCATAGATTCATACCCAACCATAAAACATATTCTTTTTAAAGTTTTTTAATGTTCTATAAATCAAGGAATTTTAGAAAGAATTATGTTCAACCAAATATCTAATCATCTTGCCATTAATAATATACTTTACATAAATCAAGACGGTTTTAAAAGAAATAACTCTACTGAACATGCAATAATTCATCTTACTCGTAGTATAACTGAATCATTCGAAAAGTCAGAGTTTACTTTAGGCGTCTTTATAGACTTATTTAAGGCTTTTGACACAATTGACCATGAAATACTGTTTAAAAAACTTGAACATTATGGTACCACCGGTAATGTTTTAAAACTACTAAAAAAGCTATTTAAAACATCGCAAACAATTTTTCTATGTCGACGGATCTTCTTCACAAGATTATCTAAATATAACTTGGGGAGTTCCACAGGGTTCTTTTATTTTCTATTATTTACGTTCTATTATTTCTAATTTATGCATAAATTAGAAATTAGCAAAAATGCATGAAAGTTTATTTGACTTAAACTAGGCAGATATTTTTGTTAGTTCAATGTTCATATCATAAAAAAGTTTATTGATGTTATTATTAGAAAGGGAATAGGTTTGTATCATCAGCAAACATTATAGTTGTTAATTTTGAGACTTCATGGAGATCGTTAACATGTTAACGATCTCCATGAAGAAACTCCTTGTTTCATTTGCAATATTTTAAACGAGGTTCCAGGAGCAAACTCAGGTATGTTCTAATCCAATTTCTAATTGTTTTATAGTGCATTCACACTCTTTTCAATTGTAGGTTGAAGCTCTTTATTTTTTTGTTCAAAGATCTACTGGGTCTCTTGGTTCCTCCCTATAATTCTATTAATGACACGGAGAACATGACGTTCCATTATATGGTGCCTGCCGTAAGTCCCTTTAAAGTTAAAAAAAAGTAAACATACCAGTCAGTAGCCAAAGAATCGGAATAGCAAGAGAAAAACAGCAATATTTTTAATTGTACTCATTATGTTTTCCAGTGTTAGAAGCAGTTGTATCAGCACAAAATGATCCGTTTAGTCATAGTATTTCACAAGATCTTGGGCTCCAGTGCTTAATCTTGTCAGAGGAGGGTACTTTAAATTCTCCAAAAAGAAGCTCAAATGAACCGGATTTATGACATGATACGCTAATTGATTTTTAAGTCAACTCTGTATTGTTTGTATAGGATGAAAGTAAAAATGGACTATCTTCGTGCCAGCTTCTCTAGCTTAGAATAGTGACAACAACATTCCTGTTTCGTTTCTTAAATTAATTTAATATTTTTGTTAAATATAGCATTAGTTTTTTAGTATTAAGTTGCGAATTTGAAAGAGATTGTTAGAATGCAAAGTGACGAATATAATAATTTAAAAATGAAAAGAGTTCTAATCATAAAACGTAATATTGCAATGTACGCTGATGGCGTAAGAGGTAAGTTATCCCTCAGCAAATAAATATCGTTAATGTGATTTTTGTTGAAAAAGAACTTAAGAAAAAAAGGAGAAGAATTTCTGGTGTTTCTGAAATAACCGGAACCGGTAAAGAAAAGAAAGAAGTTGATTTTGTAAAAGTTAAACACATCTTTCCAAATGGACACGCGTCATCCGGGGAGCGTCCGTCAAATGTCTCACGAACATCCCTCGAACGACGCATGCCTACTGGGTTACCAATATAAATTTAGATACCATTGAAATTTCGTATATAAAAAAATTTAAACCAAAAGTAAACATCAGTAATGCTTAAGGGGAAATACTTGTCGAGTTATCATCACCAGAACAAAGAATTCAGGAACAATCTGCAGCAAAAAAAATTAAAAGAAAACGATGTTTTTCCAATGTATTTATTAATCCGGATATGACACCAGCACAAGCCAAGTTAGATAATGATTAGCGTAAAGATAGAAACAAACTAAATCTCTCAAAAGAATCTCCTTTTTGTTATGGTATCATGAGCAACACAATTCAAAAAATTATAACATTAAAGTCGA